CTGTCCCCAGGTACCTGTACGGGAAGAGCCTGGAGGGGACGGCCTTTGTCCTCTTCGGGGTCATGGTGGACGACGAGAAGAAAAGCATCCCCCAGTCCCTGCGGCGCGTGCAGGTGAGCCTGGCAGGTGTCACTGTCCCCAACCGAGCCTGGCACTGTCCCCAAGCCTGGCACTGTCCCTGTCCCCAACCGAGCCTGGCACTGTCCCCAACCGAGCCTGGCACTGTCCCTGTCCCCGAGCCTGGCACTGTCCCTGTCCCCAGCCAAGCCTGGCACTGTCCCCAACCGAGCCTGGCACTGTCCCCAAGCCTGTCCCCAAGCCTGGCACTGTCCCTGTCCCCAAGCCTGGCATTGTCCCCAGCCCTGTCCCCAAGCCTGGCACTGTCCCTGTCCCCAACCCCGGCACTGTCCCCAACCCGGTCCCCAACCCTGTCCCCAACTCAGTCACTGTCCCTGTCCCCAACCTTGTCCCCAACCCTGGCACTGTCCCCAACCCCGGCACTGTCCGTGTTCCTGTCCCCAACCCTGGCATTGTCCCTGTCCCCAACCCTGTCCCCAACCCTGACATTGTCCCTGTCCTAACCCTGTCCCCAACTCAGTCACTGTCCCTGTCCCCAACCTTGTCCCCAACCCTGGCACTGTCCCCAACCCTGGCACTGTCCCCGTTCCTGTCCCCAACCCTGGTATTGTCCCTGTCCCCACCCCTGTCCCCAGGTGCAGGACGGTGACGCCGAGGCCGTGCTGTCCCCAGTCCTGTCCTAACCCTGTCCCCAATCCTGTCCTGACCCTGTCCCCACCCCTGTCCCCAGGTGCAGGACGGTGACGCCGAGGCCGTGCTGTCCCCAAGCCTGTCCTGACCCTGTCCCCACCCCTGTCCCCAGGTGCAGGACGGTGACACCGAGGCCGTGCTGTCCCCAATCCTGTCCTGACCCTGTCCCCACCCCTGTCCCCAGGTGCAGGACGGTGACGCCGAGGCCGTGCTCTCCATGGCTCACCTGCGCGAGCGCTTCCCCAACTCCCAGGAGCTCGTGGGACACTCCCTGTATGTCACTGTCACCGTCATCACCGAGTCAGGTGTGTGCGGGGACACGGCGGGGTGGCAGGGACAGTGAGGGGACACAGGGGACAGTGAGGGGACACGGGGGACAGGGACAGCGAGGGGACACGGGGGACAGGGACAGCGAGGGGACACGGCGGGGTGGCAGGGACAGCGAGGGGACACAGAGGACAGGGACAGCGAGGGGACACGGGGGGGTGGCAGGGACAGCGAGGGGACACGGGGGACAGGGACAGCGAGGGGACACGGGGGACAGGGACAGCGAGGGGACACGGGGGACAGGGACAGTGAGAATGGGGGGACACCTGGGACAGGGGACACCTGGCACAGGTGACACCTGGGACAGGTGCCCCAGGTGACACCGCGGTGTCCCCACAGGCAGTGACATGGTGGAGGCACAGCACGGTGGTGGCAGGGGGACATAAAGGGGACATAGAGGGGACAGGGACAATGACAACGGGGGGACACCTGGATCGGGGGACATGTGGCACAGGTGACACCTGGGACAGGTGCCCCAGGTGACACCGCGGTGTCCCCACAGGCAGTGACATGGTGGAGGCACAGCACGGTGGCATCCAGATCGTGACGTCCCCCTACAGCATCCACTTCACGCACACCCCCAAGTACTTCAAGCCGGGGATGCCCTTTGACCTCACGGTTGGTGACACCTTGGGGACAGCGGTGGCCCGGGGTGGTGGCACAGGGCCCGCGGGTGGGCGTGGAGGAGAGGTCGGTCCTTGGGTGATGTCCCTGTGTCACCTGAGAGGGGCTGGGGAGCGCTGGCTGTCCCTGTGTCACCGGGATGGCTCTTGCTGGTGGCGGTGTCACCTCTTGGGGACACCACCCAGTGTCACTGTCCCTTCCCAGTGCCGCCACC